CCATTAAATGTACATTGAATACTGTTTGTTAAATTGGCTGTAATAGAAAAGGTGGAATAAAATGATAGATAGCTACTAAGGATGTATGGTGCACGTAAAAACATTGCTAATTCAGCGTTCAGGATTTTATAAATTAATAATCAGACGTGAAAACTCTGGAATGCTGATGTGAACGCCTCGGTTGATAATTTAACGTTGTAGAGATGTTACCTCACGAGCCGAAGTGTTCACATCTACGTTCCTGAGTTATCACACAGATGTTTAATATTCAAGATAATAATTCACCAACTTTGTTTCCGCGTGCTTCATACTAGTATTATATACCTTAAAAATATGAATCTCTGATGTTTTGAGTGAAGCAAAATACATTAGTCGAATGAATAAAGAGCTATTTTTGATATCAGAACTACTGGACAACTTGCTCATATCTTCCTGCAATCCTTCAGGGAGTTGGCATTTCCTCATTTCTTGGAAAACTTTCTTGTTGCCACCATTTTATTGAGCGTCCCCTTCGTATCCTTCCAAAACGAAGTCTTGGCCTTCCTACTGATTTTTTGAAGCTTTTCCCATGTTGTCCGATTTTTTGTTGTCAAAAAGTCGTGTAAACGTAACTGTAAAAGTTACTCAATAATTCGTCACCATGCGGCCAAAGTATCACAAGCGCCATGCGCGGTTTTAAAATTTCCGCCGCAATTTTATTTTTTTACAGAGGAATTGTCGGTTGAATCTGTTTGAAAATTTCACTAAACGTTATCGGAAGCAGAAAGAAAATCTAGTGAAATTTTCGGACAGCTTCGTTGAACAACTTCTGTGTAGAAAAATAAAATAACAGCGGATATTTTGAATCATCGCATGGCGCTTGTGATATTTCAGCCGGAAGGCGACGCATTAGTTAGCCTCCTGTGGTGTAACTCAGCGATTGCTCCATGCTCGCTTGATTAAGGACTGAAAGCGTAAGATTATCTCCCCAGGGGAAATTCGAACTGACAAAAAAAAATTCAATGATGTATATTCATTTTACCGTTCGTTGAAACTGTCTTACAAGGGGGACATTTTTCGAGGACCAAAATTTTGGTAGACAGAAATCAGATATCATTCTTACCTGGAACAAAAAAAGGAAGACAAAATTAATAAAATTAAAATAAAACGAAGGAAAAGAATCAAAACACGCTATAGTTTACGTGGATTCCTCCTCGTATTTCCTGATACATACGAAATAAATAATTGGCACGAGTCTGTTCCACGGAACAGGTACAGCCAAGTAAAGTCCCGTAATACTGAGAGTTGAGGCAACGCGGCTTATAGATGTCACAGATGGGTATAAAGATTACACAAATAGGACGTTTCTGATAATCTTTGATCAATCCATTCCCAAATCTGTGTCTCCCTTCCCTCTCTCATTCCATTTGTTCTTTGCCGTACCCCCAATTTCCCGGTCCATTCTAGTCAATAATCTTTGCAGTGGAGAATTTGCATGCACATTTTTTATTGCTTCGCCTGAAAGTGCTTAAAGAGCTGATTTCACAGTATTTTTTATAATTTTTTTCTGATATGGGAAGTAGTATAAAAATAGATTTAAAAGTGAAAAAATGCACCGCCTAGTGACGTCATCTGGGGTGGCATTTCCCATTTAAACACTCGTAGTTTAGCAGATTAGATCATTCTGTCATATCTTTTCCAATAATCCTTCAATCCATGAACCAAGGATATCCTCGTGTTCAGTTTACTCAGTAGTTTCCACTTCAACACGAAATTCATCCATTTTTTGACACCTGCAAATTCTCTATTGGTGAAAATTTAATCTATATTTCCGTTTGAGACACTGAGAAGGCCTAAATTACGGGAACCAATCAGAAATGGATTCGCGCTGTCTTTACTCTCAGTACTCTACAGCCAAGTAAATCGGCATTGCGACATCTGCAGGTATTTCACAAAATACACGTTGAGTACATCAGAAGACTCTAAAATTCATTTCTCGGCGCGAAATCAACGTAGATTTTAACACGCTTCTTCAAGCTCTGTCCAATGATCCATTATTACGACAAACAGAGGATTTGGTCGATATGCTACTAGGTTCTTATTACCGAAACCTAGGTTGGACTACATTTTGCAAGGAACTAAAATTTTTAGCTCGCACATAAAACACCTAGCTATAAGTGGAAACTAATGGCACGTATGTTGTATCTATAATGAGATAGTTTGCAGTTCCGGGTTGCAGAATGTGGTCAATTTTTGCAATGGAGATGTTGCATGTGTGAGGGATTTGCGATTTGACCATGTATTCTTATGTAAAAGTTCGCGAGAAACACGATGGTGTCACTATTTTCTTTTCTGAAATCAACTCCCAAGCTCAAAAAAAGCTCTCAAGTTGGGCCAAAATGGAGGGGATATGGATATCCCAAGCTATCCTGAGAGTCTACCTCATCATCAATACAAACTCTCCATGCAAAGATAGGGAGCAATAAATTAGCAAGGATGCCATGTTTTCAGTTTTGGAGTCCCCCATTAAAGTGGCAGCCCTGTCAATGTATTTGCTCCCTATCTTTGCATGGAGAGTTTGTCTTGATGTAGAGGCGGACTCTCAGGGTAGCGTGGGATATCCCCGGCCTCCATTTTGGTCTCAACTTGAGAGCTTTTTTTTTAGCTTGGAAGTAGATTTCAGATAAAACCAGTGGCACCATCTTGTTTCTCGCGAACTTTTACATTAGAATCAATGGTCAAATCACAAATCCCTTACACGTGCAACATCTCCATTAATGCTCTCTTGGGTAAGACCAGTGGCGAATTTGCAAGTTGGAAACTCCGTTTTCCGTCCATTGAAATCCACGAAAATACCGATTTTTTTTTGCCACACCAAGAATCGATTGTTATAAATCCCACAAAAAAAACCCTTGGGAGGGTGCCATTCAGACGGCAATAAACTAGAGAACTTGACCGTCCCGATTTTACAGACAAACATATATGATATGAGAAATCGGGACGGCAATTAATTCTAGGGTTTGTCTCATGTTGGTAGGCCAGCCATTTTTCTAAAAAATAAATAAATAAAAAAAGGAAAAAATAAAAAACAGAAAAAAATAAAAAAATTGCCGTCATGCCGCAGATATGTTTGACAAATCACTTTGGCATTGAGTACCATTTCTGTAATGGGTACCTAATCACTTATAGTTGATAAAATTGCAGAAGTTACTCCTTTTCTGCGGCATGACGGCAATTTTTTTATTTTTTTCTGTTTTTTATTTTTTCCTTTTTTTATTTATTTATTTTTTAGAAAAATGGCTGGCCTACCAACATGAGACAAACCCTAGAATTAATTGCCGTCCCGATTTCTCATATCATATATGTTTGTCTGTAAAATCGGGACGGTCAAGTTCTCTAGTTTATTGCCGTCTGAATGGCACCCTCCCAAGGGTTTTTTTTGTGGGATATCACTTCATTTTTCATCAGATATTTTACTTAAATCTACCAGAAAAGTATAACCAATTTTTTCAGAAAATAATAACGCCATCCACGATCTCACAGTGTAGATTTCTTAAATTTACCATCACAAAGCGATCCCTAAACTCCTGTAAGTGGCTTCAGTTGGACACGTCAATTATTGCTGCTTTCGCGCGACGCAGGATTGCGTGCAGTCAAATTGAAGGCGTTTTCCCCTCTCTTTTTTTCTGTTTGATTTTGTGCTTATTACGCGTACATCTGACGCCTTCAATATTACGTGATACATCTAATCATACTCTTAACTCTGTATTGTTGCTTGTCGGTCGGTTTTAAGGTTTTTTTTCTTTATTGCCGTCCGCGCCTCTATCGAGCGCTGGAATATTTCTAACTGGTCCCACTTTAAAATCACGAGTGACAGACATTTCTTATTGAGGAATATTAATTTAGTGAAATTAAAATCTCACACAAAAAATTTTATGACAGATTCAGTCTAAATTACACAATCACTTATAAACCTGTGTACTTTTGTGACCACTTTTCAGGACCTTCCTAAAGTCTTTTGTAACAGTTATAACAACCAGCATACGTCATGTTGACTGCGAGAAAAAGTGCTTCAAATATTTATTAGTTGTATTAATTTTTAAAAAATAATCAAAAAAGGTGAATACTACAGACAAAGGAGCTTGTCTGCAGTGAAGCAGTCATTTTGAGTAAGACTCATCTGAAGGCGTACTAACAATGAAGTAATTAAATGCAAGTGCTCAACTGTAGTCTTAAATTTAAAGTTTATTTGAGCCACAAGTTTAAAAGAATTCTTTCGAAATAATTACGCTTCCCCCAAAATATAAAAGCAACACTTTACTCCTACATCTATGATCTCTCTCAAATACATAATCCATTTATCTCACAAGGAATCAGGGAAATAGAGGGAGCTTTTACACGGTGACTTTTTAGGGAAAAGGCACTAAGGTCAGCTAATGGAATGCAAAGGAGCTTCGAAAATTGATGTTTTTGATCAGCCTTTAAGATTTATCGACTCGTATAGGTAGCTATTTGGAAACAACTTTTTGTCAAAGTCTTGATTCTCTTCAAAGAAAATGAGATATGTTGATCGGTATGAAATTCATCTGCAAGAATCGTAGTTGCAATCTAATTTGAGGCATTTTTTTTAAATTCGATTGGAGAAGTATAATTTTTTTGACTTTAGCCTTTTGAGAGCCTGGTTTAAAGTTGATTTTTATAAAATCTTCATCCGACTACCAACATAAATCAATGTTCGTCTTCTTTTGAAGGGAACACAGAGGCTGGAGTAATTGAGAATCCCTTTTCCACAATATTCACCTGATCATTTTATCATTGATCCGCTGTAGATGAGTTTGTGAAGAAAATAAAGATTTTCAGCAGAATTATTATTGCTAATTTACAATTTTGCCTTAAAGAGGTCTGAAACGCCTTTTTGTGTGACATCAAAGAAAGCTTGCTAGATACTTGTAAGACAATTTCTTGGAGGTAAGTTTCCTGTTCTTTTAAATGCAAGACAATTATGCAAAAGTATTAAAGAATGAGTTGATGATAACATTTTAATTCTTGCAATGAATCAATAAAGTGAAAACACAGAATTTTCTATTTTATAGACAATTTAATAATCATTTTATATATTTGATTTATGGATGCATTTAGAAATCTATGTAAGATTTGACTAAGATAACTGTGCATGAGTAACACTGAGATATAAAAAGTAAACAGAGTGAAGAAAAAATAGAAAGGGCTACTTACACAGAAACATTTTTTTTATAAAAGATTAAATTCCACATAATTTCCATTTGTCAGAAATGTTAATAAAAGGAAATAACACTGGCAAGGGAAACAATCATAAGATAGAAAGCTTCGGGAGGGTTCAATTTTTTTACCACATCAGAAAGCAGAACAACTGGTTACTTACTTAGTGTCATGAAAGGAAGAGCAAAGACTATAAGTATGATGTAACCGTGGAATATATATCAATAACTAAAGTGAAAATAAAATTGTAAATCGAAGTGTTATGTTGTGAATGTCCACTCACATTTTAGTTTTTCAAAAAAGACTAACTAGAGAGAGTCAAGCATAATAGTCACATTCACAAGTGGTGTTTCAGAATCCCATCTCATATTTTAATTTTGTACAGGGAAATCGACCAACACCGACTCGAATTTGTTGTAAATTTTCTTTCTTTCATGAAGTTAAGTTCCACAAAATTTCAAGCATAAATGTCAGTTGGTTTTTTTTCAAAAATTTAGAACAGGAGCTGAGATTTGGAAACACTGCATGTAATGTGACGGTTTAGCTTAATTCCATCCAACTATCAGTTTATCTTCAAATTTTTGGTAGATTTTTTTTACGCATAAAAAGTTTTAAAGTGACATTTTAGCAGTTTTATTTAAAATTTAGTGTCTAGAATTGACGATTTTTTCCATTCCCTGATAATAACTTATTCCTTTCTAATTTCCTTGGAAATATTCCCTGATGAAAACCAAGGATTTCCAATCATTAATCTCTAACTTTTCTTGAGGGGAAACAAGATTTTCCTCCGGATTTCAAGACGAAAATCAACTTAGCTATATTTAGTCTGGTTTCTCCTTTCAAGTCAAGTTCAGCAGACACCCAGTTTAGAAAAATAGTATGATCTCAGAGCAAAAAGAGAGGAATGTTCCTGCAATGGCCATTCCCAGTGAATTTGCCTAATTTTCCCTGAAGAGCAAAAAACAGTAGAGTAAAAATCATTCCTCAACCAGATATTTTGTTTTTTCCTTTCCTGGTAGAGAATAATTCAGCCAAAGTACTTCTGCTACTGAGGATGTAAGACAATGTTCTACAAAAAGAACCTGTTATTTTGATTAGAAATTTTGGACTGCAGGTTGTCATCGTCCCAGTAGGTTTTCCTAAAAATCTTATAATGGAGCATCCTTTGGCCAGCTTCCTTCATACTCCATGGTCTAGGCCTGAAATTAGAAAAAGAAAAAATTATCAACCTGGAGGAATAAAAAAACACAATTCTAAACATTAATTTTAGACAGCGTTTTAACATTTTCAAAAGAAGGAAACTAAATCATGGTATATAATCTGGAAAAATCTCAAACAGGTTTTAGATAAGATAGTAGAATTACTATCCAAAATGTTAGTCATAGTTACTGTCATTAGATAGTCAAAGATGTAAAGGCAGTGCCTAATAAAATGATCAAGCATGTAACGCTGGTGCAACTCTCAACCAACATTGATATCTAGGTTTGCGACGATACAGACTTCCTGTCATACTTACTCAATTTTTAAGAGAAAAACTACTCAACGTCAAATCTTAAAGACTTTCATAATTTTCCTCTTCCGTGTGTTGAAGATCCTGTAATAACTTCCGAGGAATGATGATGATTTGTTCTTTTTCAAAACAATAAATGGGAGCTGGGAATTTAAAACACCAGAAAAAATTGATGATTTGAGAGTTTCATTGTCGATAAGCAGCGTATCCATGTAGAAACAGCAAAAGCGTGTACCTTGCTTGCAGTGATTCAAATTCACTACATGTTTTAAAAGGAAACCAAATCAACATCATAGCTTCAACTTTTCATAGAATGTCCTTCACACAGGGAAGAAAAATAGACGGAAGTGTATCAGTGGTGAAACATCTAAGCTAAGAATCTCTATTTGCGATGCAGCACCATTTCTGTTACATTTTACCAACTTTATTGAAGGACCAATTGGACGTATTTCTACCAAACGGAACTATGTGCATCAAGGCATGAGCCCTGGGACTGATGAGAATATATGCGTAGCAGGGCTCATGTCATAATGCACATAGTTCCGTTTGACAGAAATGCGTCCAATTATCACTGTCATTGAACAGAATTCTTTGTGAGCTCTCTTTGCATTTTTAAAAATGACCTCTGAAAATTTTATAAAAAAATCCCTAATAATAGACTGCTTTAATGACTAAGTCATCGCAGTTTCGATGGTTCAATTGTAAACAGACGCATAACCTTGTCGTAGTCGCACTGGGGTGAGAGTGCGTCTGATTTTCTTGTGACCAAATGGATTTATGACTTGTTGATGACACAATTTTAATCAACTACTTAACACACTAATATCACACAGAATTTAGGTATGAGGTTATCATTCATTGTTTTGGTTTGAACCATTCGCAAGAATGACGTCTAGCCACTAAATCAGTCTATATTCAACTAATAGGAAGTATTTATGCTAAATGGAACTATGTGCAAGTGGAAAGATGGGGTGTGCTCGTTAGTTGAGGGCCATAAGAATGAATGGGGATTTTAAGTGCCATCAGTAGTTTCACCATCAGTAGTAAAGAATGATTTAAATACTCATTACCTCGCTCATCGCAACTTTCGAGTAGAAGTAAAGAATTTTCCTATGAATAGATGAGTTTACACCAAGTCACATTTCCTCTTGGGCTGCAAAAATCAAGCGAGGCATACGGAAATGCGTTAACGTTCAATCTGTATCTGAAATATAAAAAATATAATCACTAAAACAGAATACATGATGCAACCATGACTGGGTGTATCTAGTTGTTGTGATGAACCAAATTAGATTGAAAGAGATGCACATAGAATGTATTTCTGATCTCCTTAATTCCAATTTCAATACATTGGGCTGAATACAGTTGGCTATAATCTTCCGATCAACATTTACCGCTGAAGCTGTAGGTATCTTTGCAAACCAGGAACTTCGAAGGTACCCCATAGACAATATCACATGGCAATGATACTTGAATTAATTATAGCGCCCTGAGAATTCAGTGAAATTATTGAAGTCAAGTTCACAGAGTCAAACTACATCATCAAAAAGTACAGAGATGAGGCGACTGAGTTACGTCTTGATCAGCCATATTGGAACCCTATGGTCACAATGATTCAATGAAAGTTTTAACTTACAATGACTACATAATGAAAATAGAACAGTTACCGACTGCATGTATTTATACAAAAAGGAACTGTGTGCCCACATGCCCATAGTTTGCACGTAACATAGTTCCTTCACACACAGATACGTGTAAATGAACATCAGAGGTTATCGCTTTTAGTGAAAAATGTAACCAGATTTGCGCTGAAATTTCAAGCGCTCTCTAAATCTCAAGGACTTACTTTAGTTCCCACAGTTTACTTACCTACAACTGGACGTATTTCTACCAAACAGAACTATGTGCATTAACACATAGGCCCCAAAACTCATAAGAATATATGCATAGCATAACAGGGCTCATGTCTTAATGCAAATAGTTCTGTTTGGCAGGAATACATTCAGCTGAGCATGCTTACTCTAGGCATGCTTAAAGGTTTTAAAATCGGCTTATCCGTATAGCCAATGAATGCATTTAAAGAAGTGTTTTGTAGGAAAAGCGCCAGAACCACCTGGCCACCAGAAGGCTAGAACCACCACAACCACAGTGCCATCAATGTAGAGCAAACATCATTTTCTACGACTCTTAAACCTAAAGAATCCCATGAAATTTCTAGTTTTTTAAGATCCAAGTAACAGCCTCACAGTACGTATTCGGCTCATCGTGTCTGGATTCTGGCCAAAGTCTAGTGGTGAAGGGCTGAAAAGTCTTACCTCACAATAAGTCGTGCACACTGAGAGCTTCTTAAGAGAAAGCAAAGTTATTCTAAATAACCATTAGCTTAAAACTTGGGCTTAGCTAGTTTCAGTAACAGGTCATAAGAGGTGCTTCCAAGCTTAGTTGATATTGATAACAACATCAACAACTTGATGACGACTGGCACAATGCACATTTGCCAATTTTCTAGTTGCGCCAGTTCTAAATAATGCGGGAAATTTGAAGAAAGACCTGCATCTACTGCATCCTCTACAATATAAAATTAAAATAATTAATATAACTTACCTTATTATCTACTCATGAGGAATTAATAATAAATAATAATCATTCACTCCCGGGTGCTCCGTGTGCGAGATCCGTACGCTCTACCGCTCTCCATGCGGCTGAGCGTCATTCTGTGACGTCACGCGTACGGATATTTTAAGTTATTTGCAAAGCAAATAACTTTTTACAGGGAAACTTTTGAAAGTTCTAATTGCGAAAAGGCACAATGGGAATCCATTACGCGTTGATTCATATATGGTGTTCTAGGGTTTTGATCACTCGTTAAGGTGGTAGAGAGTATAATCTTACGATTTCGGCCCAATAATTGCGATATTAAGTTGATTTTCGTGTATATAAGCTTACGCGCGCTACGTTACATTACAGTATATAGTCAGCCTTCAATTTCAACCGATACATCTAATCATACACTTAGGTTTCTTTTGTTGCTTTAGTCTTGTTTTAAGGTTTCTTTATTGCCGTCTAGCGCTCTACCGTGCGCTTATAATACATTCAAATGGAGGAAAAACAGTGTTGCCAACTCTTCAGAATCGGCACCCGGTAAGACGGCAAAACAGTGCCTTGATAAAAATATCAGTTTTCTCGTCTTACTTTCGGTTCACATAAAAAGGGAAACACGAGCCAACTCAAATTTTGTGTTGATTTTGGTACAGTTTGTGGTGAATTAAGCGCAGACCTCAAAATCAACCGAACCGAAGGCTTCGCTGAAAGAAAATATGGTAAATTTTACCATCCTCGAACACAACGAAACGAGTATGGTAGTATACGCCTAACTCTATTATGGCATTTATCACATTATGGTAAGTATCACAAGAAATCTGGTGAATACTTCTATAATTCTGGTTCCTTAAAAACACAAAGACAATTTTTGGTAAAACCACACTCACTTGCGAAAAAAATTGTTTTTAAAATAACGGGACGCGTTTCGGGACCTTAGCTCCTATCATCAGCCGCGACTCAAG